CTAGGACGAAACGGTATCGATCAGAAATAGAGCAACACTCTGCAGCTCGATCAGACATTGTCCGGATTTGTCTATTGTTCGCCGATTCGAGAAATCAACAGCGTCGTAAACAATTCATTTTACGCGACGCCGAGCTTTACAGGAGATGGATCCGAATCGGTGCGATGGAATTACTATAACGACGAGTAAAATTGCTATATATCTCTGCAAGAAATTTCGCCGCATTCTCCGAACGTCGACGCGCGTTTCCGCGAAACCGGGAATTCCTACCTTCATGGATACGCGCTGTAAAAATTGCTGTAAAAATTGTTGTAGATATCGTTGTAAAATTCTTGATCACGTTAGCCTTCTACTTTCTGATGTTTTTCGGCTGCTTTTGTATGATTCGGACGAACGCGAGGCGACCGCAATTTAGAGGAATTTTCCTCGTCGCTTCTCGAAGACGTGAAAATTATCGCGACCCCGAGGCAAGGGGTGCACGTGATAGGATTACACCGGGATATCTGGTTAACGTCGGAAGCGAGACGTTGCTCAGAGATTAATCGAATTCTTCGGGACATTGATATCGTTCGAGGAACCCGCGCGTCTCGCGAGTGATACGAGTCGACGATCGCCCAGCCGCTTTGGAACGAGTTGAGGACGCCCGTCCTCGCTGTTGGATTTTTCTCTCCCCCCCTCTCTCTCATTATTACTCTCATCGTTTTCACAGAACCGGGAAATTTGCAATGGAAGCGACAGGGCAGCCGATCGAACAGCCAACGATTCAATCGACCTCGACGCCATCGCAGCTTTCTCACGAACCTCGCCGCAGCTCCGAGGATTTGCGATATTCCCTGCCTTCGCTTTATGGTAATCCCGACCGCCATCTTCGCGACCGCGGCAATCTGTTGCAGCGGAACAACCTCCGTCGGCCAAATTAATTGGGAAAAAATCATTCTTTCCCGACCGATATCGGTTCCCGTATTCCGGATTCCATTCGCCGGAATGGAAATCGCGCGGGCCATTTTTTGATATTTTGCCCCCCCCCCAATGGGGCTGAAATAACGGTTTTCTGATCGATGCTCGGCGAAAATTTCGAAAATCCTAGTCAAGATTAACCGCGCGCTTCGCCACCTGTTTTTTAACTTGCTCCAGATACATGCCGGCGAGCAATTTAACTCGCGAGATACCGCGAATCGGCAGGAAATGCGGGGAACGTCGAGTGCATCAATTGTGAACACGGAATTTTTGCAATGGCATACAATGTTTATTATTCGAAAAAATATACATAGCACAGCACATATATATAAATGTAGTGTACATGAAAACGTCAGAAAGATAAATTTGTACAAATTTGTCTCGTCTGTGGTCTCTCGCCTACTTCCGCGACGTATACTATATTACTACTCTATTTATAATACGTATGTATAGTACCCTGGACTATGATAAAACCCTGACTATAATAAAACTCTAACTATAATAGAACACTGATTATAATAAAAACACTGACTAAATATTAAATTATAATTATATGATAAAATAAAACCGCAATAAAACCCTGACTATAATAAAAACGTTCAAGTTCTCTGTAAACATGTCCTTACAGATGAATGTACAAATATATTCACCTGTTTCCGCGTATTATTCACCGGTAGCGCGTCTGCTCCGACAATCGTTTTGCCATGGAAAACGACTAGGAACACGTACTCCCCTTTTCTCTGGCTGTACGGTTCCGAGGACCGAACGGTGCCGCTACGAACAGGTCGAGCATGAAGGACTCAAGGACTCAAGGAATCAGGGTCTCTAGACTTTTTGGCTTGACTTTCAAGATCCCAAACAGCCGAAACGCGCCGAAAAAGATAAAGACCAATTCCTGCTGCTGGCGGTTCTCCTGGTCACCATCGCCTTCTATGTCCAGCGCGAAGGACTCGAAGGCTAATAAACGTTCGGGACTCTTCAGATCATCATCAAAGTTCTTGAACAAAAATAGACGCAGTCGCGGACAGGCGTCGAAAAAGATGGGAGAGGAATCCACAATCTTGACTCTCCCGAAGAAGATCGAGGAGATGAAGATAAACGCTAACTGCTCAGAGATCGCCTCTACGTCCTCGCCTTCTAACTCCAGCGTGAAGGACTAAAGGACTCAAGCAATCAGGCGCTACAGACTATTCGGCTTGATGTTCAAGATTCCAAACAGCTGAAACGCGCCGAAAAAGATAGGAGAGGGATCTACAATCTCGACTCCCCCGAAGAAGATCGAGGAGATGAAGAGAAACGCCAGCGCGAAGGACTGCGAGCCGAAGCAGCTGGAAAAGGGATCTTCAACTACTTCCTCGACTCCGTCGAAAATGATAAACGGGGAGAGCAACGCCAGCTGGTCAGGAATCTTCTCTTCACCCTTTAAACGTAACAAGAACAGAAGCAAAGACAGTGGTAACGACGCGAGCCTGATGCACAACGGCAATCAGAATTCGAAAGAATCCAGCTCGGGCAAATCTGGCAAATCAAGTCCGATGAGAAAGTGCCTAGAAGAAGGTGGAACGCGCCCATCTGCCCTCTAAAATGGTCCAGTTTGGACAATACGGGGAACGTCGAGCGCATCGATCGTGAACACGGAATTTTTGTAATGGTATACAGTGTTTATTATACGAAAATATGTATAGCGGCATATTGACGCTGCTTATCATAAAATATCAGGTAGTTTCGTCCGACTCGAGATTAATTTTCTCTCTCTCTCTCTCTCTCTCTCTCTCTCTCTAATAGGACCATTCGTTGGACCACGTATATTAGAATACAATTCACTGTCCAGTACTTATGGTTACGATCACGATTTATAATAAATTCACATTTGCTTTTTATTTTATAACTAAAATTCTGTTAGAAAAATGCTTATACATGTTGCATACAAATATTCTACGCATTTTATTTTAAATAACATGTAGAATCATATCTTCACTTGTGCAATTAATCTCGCCACATCCTTGTACACTATATACTATACATAGGTTCCCACCCCAGTGACAATATCTTAGACCAAATATGGTCTAAGGATAATACAATCTGAAAGGTTGCGATTCATCGCAAAGAATTGAAAATATAAAATATGTTGAATAAAATGTGTTGCTTTGATAAAATCAATTTCGAAAATTTTAACTATTCGTGTGTTTTGATTATCAGTTTGTATAACGTTATTATAGAAAACAAATACAGTAATTTCTCCGGAATTTGACGAACTTCGGTATTCTGGGGTTCGCGCATTTTCTCTCTAAGCCGATGCTAAGGAGTCAGTGAACACGAGTGCCGCGGCTTCTTCGACTCGAATTCCCGGAATACAACTCATAATACAATGAGGTAACTTTTTTTAATTTTAACATTTTAACACTGATCTTTTATTTTATAGTTTGGACAGGTATTTCCAATGAAAATAAAAGCGAACACGATATAATTTCGATTACGTACATTTACTTATTTAATACTTCATGTGAAATTCATTTGATCTCATCGTTATTGTGATTACATAAATAAACTTATAAATTACATATAAATAAAAATAAGTCTACTATCCTATTCTATAAATATCTATATCTATCTACTATTCTATTCTATTCTATAAATCTACATTGACATAGTGTATAATGGTAATAGTATTTTGAATGAAATTGTTGTCTTGCGTATTATCCTTGAAATTGTCGTAGCCAAAAGTGATGATTTTCATTTTTCAAGTGATGATGGTTTAACAATTAAACTAAAAAAAGAAAAATTAATTTGTAAATAATTCATATTTTCAAATTGGTTGAAAAAAAAATTTTTACCGTTATATGAACAGGTATGTACTTACTTGTATTGTTGCTCATTCTTCAATTTTCTTTAAATTAACTGTAGAATCATCCGGTACATTATGATTCCCGTACATTCTTACTAAGCATATGCCGTGACGTTTTTTAAAGTTTATCAACCAGTCACGATTGGGTACAAATTTCGAATACGAGGGCAAATTTTCTATCATTTCCCTCGCCTTTTCCAAAATCAGATTGTTGGTTAGGCGCTCGTCACGTGATCTTCTTTCTAAGATCCACGACAGTAATGCCGTATCTATTTGATCGTATCTATTTGATCGAAGTTCCCTCGTTGGTGCCATAATTCTCACAATTTATAGCAATACTGTTTCGACAATAGTTAGAACTGCGGAACTTCAAGACTACTCGCAACGACAGTTGACATCCAAATTGCTAGTTTTACTTTTTGAGCCATCTTTTATACAAATTTGGTGGCCGAAGCGAGCACCAATCAACGATTAGCATTTTTCGCTACGGTAAGAGAGGGGGTGGGGGTTGCGCTGACGGATCACGGATGACCAAGTGCGCTCTTTAACCGATCTTATACCTGCTTTTATTAGCCTATTGTCCCACGTTTTCGTGAAATCTTTATGAATAGAGCCATCGAGACAAATTAACATTTACTTCGATAATGGTTTTATTGCTTCATGAACATTACCGTTAGTACGCCGTAATAACGATTCGGACAATAGCGACGTGTCGATTCTTGTTTTCACAGGAAAACGACGCCTCGGATCCAGCCCTTGTTCTTCTTCGTCACATCTGCAACCCATTTGTTGTGCTATCGACGCTGAATTTCGAGAATCTCGTATCTAAACGGTGTCGTTCTTCCTTGCCGTTCGATTATTCTTACTCCAAGATCTCTTAAAATTGCAAGGTTGATCGAAAAATAGGGTAAACTGTTTCTTCACACTCTACGTCGAACGCGTAGGCACGTCGAATATCCGTCGGATAGAGGCATCTGTCCTCCGAATAGCATAACTTCACTGATACTTTCTTTCGAACGACGTACAGTAATGTCTCCCTAACTGACGCATAGATGGTCCACAGAATCGGACAATTCAGAAAGAGGAGATACGATTATTCGAGCGTTGCGGCTCGTTTTTATTTATCGTCGACAATTCGTAACTATAAAATATTATAATAATATTGTATTATATTATAATATTGTTATATATCATTATCTGTAATATAGTTATATTTAATTCGCACTGAGATCGCGCACAAGAATTGTCTTGATTGCTCTCGAAAACTCGTGGGTGCCATTGCATCCCTCCATCGGTGTTGATTACGCATAACTTCGACCCTGTCGTATAGAGAGAAGCAAGCAGTGAAGAACATGGCGGTAAAACGTCGTTTACATGTTGCCGATGAACATTTTCTCGATTTACACGAAATGTAGATAGTTCTGACATTTCCATCGGGCCGTTTCTTCTTCAGAAATATCTACAGAATCCAATTCTGCGTAGAGTTTTCACGCTGAACGAAGAACTTTTCGTAACAATACAAAAATATTGCGAGGAAACTATACACGTCGATACTTTTTTAAACTTTGATATTAATTTATAGTTATTTAGGACCACAAACAATTAATAAATTGTACGCCACTATATTCGGAAAACTTCTCTCTATCTTTTTAGATAGATTAGAACTTTCTAACGTTTGTATTGTTCATGCAATAGCTCATTTTTCTCGAAGACTTTGAGTTTTTACAAAATCTCGTTTTTTTCGTAAACTTGGGGTGATGGAGCAATTCGGTTCCCGGGTTCTTGATTGAGGAGTGAAGCTCTACAAGAATTTCATAATGGCTATAGGAAATCAGAAGAAAGGGTTGCTTTTGTGGAACAGTGTAATTACTAACACCTCGTGAGTGAGAAAGCGATAGAGAGGGAGAGAGAGAGAGAGAGAGAGAGAGAGAGAGAGAAAGAAAATGAAATTCGGGTCGAACGAAACTACCTGATATTTTATGATAGGCAGTGGTCAATATACCGCTGTATATTATTCTGAATAACATTCTAATTCTAGAACAAAAGCGACGACCTAACTACCTTATTTCTAATTTTGTATACATAAAATCTTTTTTAATATATTGGTCAGATTCTTCCAATTAAAATGAGACCAAACACGACATTTTTTAGACCATATTTATTCATTATGCGTAGCAAGTAAGTTATTTTATTTACGAAAAAGCATTAGAAAAATCGATTCTTAACTATAAATATGTGAAGTACTAAAGGCAACGTCAAAGAAGGTATGTACTGCTCAGATTGTCCTCAAAAATGGACATTTTTTAAAAGGAGATATGATTATTCCAGCCTTGCGGTTTATTTTTACAGTTATTTCTGAGTTTTCGAGCGCAATCAAGACAATTCTTGTGCGCGATCTCAGTGCGAATTAAGGTGAAATTATTCCATATGCCTTTAAATAATATTTCTATATTTTTGTATTAATAAATATAACTATATTACAGATAATGATATATAACAATATTATAATATAATACAATATTATTATAATATTTTATAGTTACGAATTGTCGACGATAAATAAAAACGAGCCGCAACGCTCGAATAATCGTATCTCCTCTTTCTGAATTGTCCGATTCTGTGGACCATCTATGCGTCAGTTAGGGAGACATTACTGTACGTCGTTCGAAAGAAAGTATCAGTGAAGTTATGCTATTCGGAGGACAGATGCCTCTATCCGACGGATATTCGACGTACCTACGCGTTCGACGTAGAGTGTGAAGAAACAGTTTACCCTATTTTTCGATCAACCTTGCAATTTTAAGAGATCTTGGAGTAAGAATAATCGAACGGCAAGGAAGAACGACACCGTTTAGATACGAGATTCTCGAAATTCAGCGTCGATAGCACAACAAATGGGTTGCAGATGTGACGAAGAAGAACAAGGGCTGGATCCGAGGCGTCGTTTTCCTGTGAAAACAAGAATCGACACGTCGCTATTGTCCGAATCGTTATTACGGCGTACTAACGGTAATGTTCATGAAGCAATAAAACCATTATCGAAGTAAATGTTAATTTGTCTCGATGGCTCTATTCATAAAGATTTCACGAAAACGTGGGACAATAGGCTAATAAAAGCAGGTATAAGATCGGTTAAAGAGCGCACTTGGTCATCCGTGATCCGTCAGCGCAACCCCCACCCCCTCTCTTACCGTAGCGAAAAATGCTAATCGTTGATTGGTGCTCGCTTCGGCCACCAAATCTGTATAAAAGATGGCTCAAAAAGTAAAACTAGCAATTTGGATATCAACTGTCGTTGCGAGTAGTCTTGAAGTTCCGCAGTTCTAACTATTGTCGAAACAGTATTGCTATAAATTGTGAAAATTATGGCACCAACGAGGGAACTTAAACCTATACGACCAAGTACAACAACGCTAAAGTACGATCAAATAGATACGGCATTACTGTCGTGGATCTTAGAAAGAAGATCACGTGACGAGCGCCTAACCAACAATCTGATTTTGGAAAAGGCGAGGGAAATGATAGAAAATTTGCCATCGTATTCGAAATTTGTACCCAATCGTGACTGGTTGATAAACTTTAAAAAACGTCACGGCATATGCTTAGTAAGAATGTACGGGAATCATAATGTACCGGATGATTGTACAGTTAATTTAAAGAAAAGTGAAGAATGAGCAACAATCCAAGCAAGTACATACCTATTCATAATATAGTTTTTTCAACCAATTTGAAAATATGAATTATTTACAAATTAATTTTTCTTTTTTTAGTTTAATTGTTAAAAGATAGAGGAAAATCATCACTTTTGGCTACGACAATTTCAAGGATAATACGCAAGACAACAATTTCATTCAAAATACTATTACCATTATACACTATGTCAATGTAGATTTATAGAATAGAATAGAATAGTAGATAGATATAGATATTTATAGAATAGAATAGTAGATTTATTTTTATTTATATGTAATTTATAATTTTATTTATGTAATCATAATAACGATGAGATCAAATGAATTTCACATGAAGTATTAAATAAGTAAATGTACGTAATCGAAATTATATCGTGTTCGCTTTTATTTTCATTGGAAATACCTGTCCAAACTATGGAAATGTATGTACATGGAAATGAAATATGTACATGGAAACGTCAGAAAAATAAATTTGTACAAATTTGTCTCGTCTGTGGTCTCTCGCCCACATCCGCGACGTATACATATATATTTATTTATAATACATATGTATAGTATCCTGATTATGATAAAACTCTAACTATAATAGAACATTGATTATAATAGAAACACTGACTATGATAAAAACACTGACTAAATATTAAATTGTAATTATATAATAAAATAAAACTATAATAAAACCTTGATTATAACGAAACATGACTAAATATTAAATTATAATTATATAATAAAATAAAACTACAATGAAACCCTGACTATAATAAAAACGTTCAAGTTCTCTGTAAACATGTCCTTACAGATGAATGTACAAATATATTCACCTGTTTCCGCGTATTATTCACCGGTAGCGCGTCTGCTCCGACAATCGTTTTGCCATGGAAAACGACTAGGAACACGTACTACCCTTTTCTCTGGCTATTACGGTTCCGAGGCCCGAACCGTGCCGCTATGAACAGGTCTTTCGGGAGAATGTTTCCGAGGTGAAAACGCCGCGATCCGCGTCGTCTCGTCCTCATTACTCTCATCTGAAGGCTCTATCCATGGGAAAACCGCGTCTCCTTGGCAGAGCAACGATGACCGCGGAGCAAGTTCGTCAAGATAAAAAGCAAAAATCTATCCTACGATTTAGTCTAACTTAATGAAATATAAAAAATACGATACGTCCTAAAAACAAAACGTTAAACCGGAAATCGCGTCCGTTAGCTAAATAAAAACCATTAAAAATCCGTTTCGTCGAACAGCAATGTTTTGTCGTTCGCCCCGGGACGTTGTTGTCGCTTAAAAACTTTCAGGATCGCGTGCGCGTCGATCGCGTCAATTGGAACCGGAGGACTCTCGATTCAGCCATATAAAATCGAATATAAAATGTAACGCGCGCGACTGACGGCGTTCAAACGTCCCGGGAACATTGCTAAATCGTTTTGCCAAGTCAGTTATAAAATCGATCTGTGTTGCGCGAGGACTCGCGGTTCAAAACATGAACGCCTCCTCCTCCAACAAGCCTATCTCCTCGTCGGAATTCTGCAGGATATCTCTAATGGACCATAGACTGCTGAATCTCGAATTCATGCTGGCGCGTCCGGACGTCGACGCAAAGCGACTGCATAGGGGCGGCGAGGGGGGTAAAAGACTGTCCGGAGGTGACAGCAGAATAGGACTGCCTGAGAGCGACAGCAGTATGGGACTGTCCGAGGGCGACATCAGAATGGGACTGTCCGAGGGCGACAGCAGAATGGGACTGTCCGAGGGCGACAGCAGAACGGGACTATCTGGAAGCGTCAACAACAGGTACGGACTATCTGCAATCGGCGGCGGAACGGGACTGTCCGTGGGCGTCGATGGGAAGGGACTGATCGTGGACGTCGATGGAACGGGACTGATCGTGGGCGTCGGCGGAACGGGACTGATCGTGGGCGTCGGCGGAACGGGACTGATCGTGGAAGTCGATGGAACGGGACTGTCTGGAAGCGGCGGCAGCGACGGAACGGGGCTATTTGAGCTCATCTTCGGCGTCGTCGGCTTCCAATCCAGCGAATTGTCAACAAAATTGTCCATCGGCGGATAGATCGGACCGAGGTCCAACTTCAGCTCCTGCAGTGGCACCTCCACCAGCATTAACTTCTTCTGTTTGCTGTAACAATTTCAAACGGCGTTAGTTGTATACCGCGAACGGGGCCGGAATTGGGACTGCTTTATCGGACCAAGCTGATTCTATCTTATCTCGGATCTAGAATGTTTCGTGTACCGTGAGAATATTGGTCTTGATTGAAAAATCAATTTTCCGATGTTGCAGATCCAAGAGAAGTTTGTAAGTAAAAGTCGAATTTTTGTTCGCTTCGGCATGCTGCCTGTGCTTTGGGCTTTTTTTTCTTTGCTCGGAAATTGCTCGCCGGATCGAGTCGATTCTTTCGAAACATCCCTGAATCCTCGGAGACAGAGAGTGGGACCCTCGAAAACCGAGGGCTACTAGAGAAACGCAGGGCATATTTACCTAGGAGTGGCATCTTCTTGGCAATTAGTCTGGTTCAACACACTGGCGAGGGGATTGTTGGCGCGGAAGGTGCTCAACATGGCCTTCCTGTCCATCTCGATGAAGTCGTCTTTCGGTTGCTTCAGAGTCCCTTTGGCGGACATGACCGAGGACAACGATGACGAGGAGNGAATCCTCGGAGACAGAGAGTGGGACCCTCGAAAACCGAGGGCTACTAGAGAAACGCAGGGCATATTTACCTAGGAGTGGCATCTTCTTGGCAATTAGTCTGGTTCAACACACTGGCGAGGGGATTGTTGGCGCGGAAGGTGCTCAACATGGCCTTCCTGTCCATCTCGATGAAGTCGTCTTTCGGTTGCTTCAGAGTCCCTTTGGCGGACATGACCGAGGACAACGATGACGAGGAGGCGGACTTTTCTTCGTAGCCGGAGTCCTGCAGCTTCTGGGTGGTCTCAATGATCAAGTTGGTCTCCTTTATCAATTCGGTCTCCTTTATCAATTCGGTCTCCTTTATCAAGTCGGTCCCCTTGACCAAGTCGGTCCCCTTGACCAAGTCGGTCCCGTTGACCAAATCGGTCCCCTTGACCAAGTCGGTCCCGTTGACCAAGTTGGTCTGGGACGAGTACAGCGAGTGGTTCTTATAGAAGGGTCGCTTGCTGACCCAGGAGGTTAGCAGCTTCTTCAGCGACTGCTTGCGCGGCAGCTTCCTGCCGGTGATCGGTATCCATTCGACCGAAGTGTTCTCGACTTCGATCGGCTTCTTCAGGAACGCGCCGACGATCTGCGGCATTCTATCGACAACCCTGACTCGCGGAGGATCGCGAAGGACTTCTTCCCTCACCACCCGAAAGTGTTCCTCGATCATCGTGCTGGTTTTAAGAGGAGCATGACCTTTCACCACGACTGTCTTCTCGGGATCCGGCCAACTGATCTCCATATCTGGTCTCACCATCGTCTCAGTGTTGTCCAAACTCGGCCATTTTAGAGGGCAGATGGGGCTGTTCCACCTTCTTCTAGGCACTTTCTTATCGGGTTTGAAGGTGTCAGAGTTGCCCGAGCTGGAGTCTTTCAAATTCTGGCTGCCGTTGTGCACCAGGCTCGCGTCGTTAACCGACTTGCTGCTGTCGTTGCTACTGTCGTTACCACTATCTTTGCTTCTGCGCTTGTAACGATTGAAGGGCGAGGAGAAGATTGCTGACCAACTCGCCTTGTTCTCCTCGTTCTTCAATTTCGACGGAGTCGAGTAAGGCGTCGAGGAAGGAGTCGAAGACATGGATTCCTCTCCCAGCTGCTTCGGCACGCAGTCTTCCGCGCTGGTGTTTCTCTTCGTGTCCTCGATCTTCTTCGGTGGAGTCGAGGTTGCGGATCTCGGCGCGTTTCCGCTGTTCGAAATCTTGCAGGTCGAGCCAAAGAGTCTAGGGCGTCTGATACCTTGGGTCCTTGAGTCATTCACGCCGGAGTTAGAAGGCGATGACGTCGGGGAGATCTCCGAGCAGTTGGAGTTTATCTTGATCTCCTCGAGTTTCTTCGGGAGAGTCAAGATCGTGGAGTCCTCGCCCACCGTTCTCGACGCCTGTCCGCGACTGCGTCTATTTTTGTTTAAGAACTCTGATAATGATCCGAAGAGTCCCGAACGTTTATGAGCCTTCGGGTCCTTCGCGCTGGACATAGAAGGCAATGATGACGAGGAGAACCCCGAGCAGCAGGGATTTGTCTTTATCTCCTCGGTTTTCTTCTTCGAGATAGGCAAGGTCGCGGATTCCACTCTCATCTGCTGCGCTGCGTTTCCGCAACTAAATAATCCATCGCACGAGGACATGAAGGCGACGAGTTGGGACCGCCTGTGAGCCTTCGAGTCCTCTGTGCTGAACTTAGTATGCAAGGGCAAGAATGATATTTCTGAGTAGCTGACGGTTCTCGTCATCTCCTCTGTCTTCTTCGTCGGGGGAGTCAAGGTCATGGAACCCACTCGCATCTGTTGCGCCACGTTTCCGCGACGATATCTTCTGTGGCACGAGATCATGGAATGCAAACCGAAGAGTTCGGAGCGCCTTCGAGCCTTCGAGTCCTCTGCGCAGAACTTCCTGGACGAGGGAGAAAAGATCCGCAAGCTGCTGGCGGTTCTCTTCCTCTTCAAGGGAATCGTTGTTGCGGATTCTTCTCCCCTCTGCGATGCCATTCCGCAACCGCATCTGTCATCGTTCGTGCACTTGAAAGGCGTCCTCAAGTGTCCGTTAGCCTCCGAGTCCTCTGAACTGGACTCCGAAGATGAGATCCTCGCGCAGCTGGCGGCTCTCTTCCTCTTCGAGGGCGTCATGGCTGTTGATCTCTCACCTATCTGGCTTGACCCGTCTCCGCGACCACGTCTTTCGTCGTTGAAGATCTTCAAAGGCGATCCACAGACTTCAGTAGAGCTGTCAGTTTTAAAAGACGAGGGCAACGTAGAGATGCCTGAGCAGCCGGCCTTCTTCGAGAGCGTCAAGGTCGCGAATCCCTCTCGCTTCTGCATAGGCATGTTTCCGCGACCACGTTTTTCGTCGACTGAGAGTTTGGAAAGCAATCCGGAGTGTCCGGAAGGACTGCTGGTTTTAGAGTCCTCCGGTCTGGATTTTAAGGAAGAGATCGTGACATAGATCCCAGAGCAGCTGGAGCTCCTTTTCATTTCCTCGATCTTCTTCCTCGACATAGCCAAGTACATGGATTCCTCTTCAATCTGCTTCGTCGCGTTTTCGCGATCACGTCTTTCGTCGATTGAGAGTTTGGAAAGCGATTCGGTGAGCCCGGAGAGCCTGGTGGTCTTTGAATCGTCAGAGTTGGACTTGGAAGGCGAGAGCGATGAAGCGACCTCTGAGCTGCAGGCGTTTCCACAATCACGTTTTTTGTCGTCTGAGACTCTAAAAAGCGAGGCAATGAATGCGGAACGTCTGTTATTCTTAGAGTCCTCCGCGCTGGAGCACGAGGGCGCGGAGAAGGTGCCTGATCGTCTACGCGATTCGTTATCCTTCTTCGTGGGGCTGTTGTTCACGTTCCTAGAGATTTCGGAGCAGCTGCCGAAAGATTTCGCCTTTCGTTTCAACTTCGTACATTCCGTCCCGCTAGCTTCCTTGCCATCAATTTCATCTAGCGATTCGTTCTGATAGTTGTACATCTGGTATTTCATCTCGATCGCGGCCACGATCTTCCTCACGAAGTTCTTCGGCTTCGACTTATTAGCGGCCCGCGCTTCGCCGTGCTTCGACGGCGAGTGAAAGTCCTTTTCGAACTCGTGGATTATGACCTGCAAGTCCGGCGTCTCCGGATGTTTCGCCTGCAAATCGGGTGTTGTTTTGGAAGGTGTCGTCGACATTCTGGCGGTGCTGTCTTCTAGAATTTGGCACTTCCTTGATGTTCCCGTTCGCCGAATTCCCGTCCTCGCTCAACCAATTCCTTTTCAATGGCAGATCCTCTCGCTCCGTCGTTCGCTTCTCGCGCTTCAGCTCTTGGTATTGTTACAAACGCTACAAAAGAATTTATCGAATATATCGAACTGCTCGTAATCCTGCACACGGTTTTAAAATCACACTGCTCTAAAACGACACTTGAAACTTGCCCGAAACGTACAAACAGCGAACTGACAATTCAATTAAGTTTTCCGGTCATCGGCGGCCCTTTTATACCTGCCGGGGTCATACCTGCGACGACTTACCGAGCGTTAAAAGTGGTGGGGCAAGGGTAACCAACGGTACCGTCAGGTATAACGATATGTTATACGACTAATAAGTAATAACGGTACTTCCGTTTCGACGAACTTTCAATTTAGCAAATCAATTTGCCGTTCCCCGGTAACGCTCCCATTAGCTCGTGATTAATATTCCCGTAAGAATTGTTTACCCGATGTTCGCCCGATGTTTTCCTTTCGTTTCCCGGCCCCGTGCACCCGCGTGCCGTTCATTCAGCTGATTTCTACTCCGCGCGTGCCGCCTACGTCGCTAGTAAAGTTGCATTTTAATAAGAATCCGAATAAAAATCGCGACCATAACGTCGAACCGCGTAACAGTCGCGTTCCCGAAATTGTTTCCAAGGCGCGGGCATAAATTCTTGCCGCGTCCCGTGTTTATCAATATCGACTCCCTATTCTATCGCATAGCGGGATCATGCAAATTTCGTGCCCGCCGAATGCAAATATCGCGTTCGGCGGAACGCTCGACGCGGCTGCGACCTTGCACCGCGTTGCACCGCGTTGCAACCCGTTGCGGGGCGAGCTCCTCGACGATTTCCCCGAAGCCGGGCCTCGCTAGATTTCCGCTTACAGAGTTATCCGCGACTAGGACGAAACGGTATCGATCAGAAATAGAGCAACACTCTGCAGCTCGATCAGACATTGTCCGGATTTGTCTATTGTTCGCCGATTCGAGAAATCAACAGCGTCGTAAACAATTCATTTTACGCGACGCCGAGCTTTACAGGAGATGGATCCGAATCGGTGCGATGGAAT